TTCCTCCACCGACCCAAGAACGACCTACAATAGACAGTGGGCGCTACCCTCTCGTGTGGCTCCCGGCCTGAAAGCGCCAATCACTCGTAGCGCCTGGGCCTGAGTTTCCTTGCCAAGGACAAAGAGTCTGGTCACGACTCCCCGAAGCAAGCGTATGTCCGCGTTCAGCCTGGCTCGCGCCATGGATTCCGTGGACTCCGGAATATTGACAGTTAGAAATCATTGCTGTCTCGAGGGGCGTTCTCGTCGCTGGTATCCTGTGACGGCCGATTGGGCTACTATCCTGGGGGTGGAGGCCATTCGGGATGCAGGCCGAGTCGCAGAGTGTTCGGTGCCGCTAGCTACAGCACTGTTGGGGGCTCGTGAGGCAGCAGCAACTCTGGCATACGATCTGATATTGAACGACGGAGCTGGTCGCGCGGGCAGTGACGGAATCAGCGCATAAGCAGTAGGCGCTGGGGATCCAGGCTCGATCGATGTCGCTGCTCGACTCTCAATGGAGGTCGGTTACTCGTTATTGGTTGCAAGCCTGCGTCTCCGTCTTTTCTGCTCATCAGCCAGGGCAGTTGGCAGCGCCTTCGGGTTAACTGAGATTTCTGGCATGCCAGAAAGCAACGTTCCCAACTATGCACATCTTTGTGCATGGATTGTGCCTCTCGAATAGATCAACGAGCAACGCAAAGCCCATTTCAGATCGCAAATCGTCAATCAAAACGAAGCAACAAGTTTCCACTGTACTGCAATAATATATGATTAAATAAGTTAATAAAATCTGTACAAACCTATAAGTGATCCTGAAAAAACGTGAAAACAGGAGCCAAGTGTTACTGTGAGCATAATTGAATAAATTGGAACGGGAGAAAATGAAACTGGATAAGAATAGCACGCTCTCCGTCACACTGCACTCGAACGAGTTATACGTGAGCGCTCGGGTCGCACTTAGAACAAATAGGGTGAGAATGAATTAGTAACACTAACAACGCCAGATAGTGGATGTGACGACCAAAACGCGATTGTTCTGATCCGAGCGAAACGAAAAAAACCTCATCTGTACGCGTTCAATCAAATGACCCTTCGCTCGTTCTGGATAGCGATAAAAAAATGTCAGAGCAACGCGTACCCCAAATTATCGAGAACCAAGTCCATCCAAGAATAATCTACGGTACTTTTTGCATTATTCATAAATACATAAGACAGTCATACCTCTGAAAGTGAGCCTAATTCACTATCCAGCCAAAAGGTTACAAATATTCACAGAGAATATCTGCGGTAATTAAAGGTAAATAAGAAAATGAGTGATTTGAATTACCTTTCACATAATTCTGGACCAATAGGAAACTTCTGCACGCTTCAACAGATCAAGCAAAATAATCTTGAGCGTTACAGCCAAAGGGGATTCAATATAACCGAAAGCAACGGTTAGTTCAACACAGAGGGTCCAATCGAAACCTTGGTCGCAATAAAACAAGAAAAAGCACTGAATCCCATTTACATATAAGAGCAAAGCACTTGAAGTGTGTGTTTAATAGATATGCTTCACCGTAAAAACGGTGAAATAGAAGGTTCAGAGAAGAAACTTCACCGAGATGGAAACCACTGTCGGAAAGAATGCACGATAGAATGGTGAAGAAAGATAAGGAAATGTAAGGTAATTGAGAGGAATTTTCAGTTCCTTCACTGTTATAAAGTGATCGATGTGTAAATTTGCAAGGGAGGTATAACGTCATACGTCTATGTGAGGTGGTGTTAGGTGAATTAAACGTAAAATTTACGAAATGTGAAAGCAACTTGGAATGGCTGGGCTTTATGGGAAGAATTTCCACAGATCAATCAGTATGTCGCTCTGCAAAATCCTTCCTCGAGTCAAATAGCCAAAGGGAAAATTCAAGGGTGCTGCAATTCTCACCCTAATTACCTAAGCCTTGCAGTCGTTGCGCCGTTCTTTGGAGCCTATCATTGTCTTATCCGTCTCTGCCAGCTCAGAATGTTATCTATAAGGCGTTCTTTATGACTCACAATGCCTCGCTCACTAACCCGGAGACAGTCGAGCGCTAAGAAGAAGGGAAAAGATTCAGGAACCAGCCACCCGAATCTAAAAGCCCTCGAGAGACACATTATAGACATGGAGAGGCAGATTCATGCAATGAACAAGTCATCGGGCATAGGCTCCTGATACTAAACCGGGAGGAGCCATATATAAGGGAGGTCAAAATCAGGCGAGAGTTGGACCATAGGCGGGTGTTAGACATGCTGCATATAGCAGGTATCTTGCATCCTGGAGCTATCAAAAGAGTCCACAGGGTAGGGACGTATAAAGTTCCAAATTCCAATAGAAGTGGCTCTCTAGAGCGATTAATTTTAGTGGAATTTGTTGCGGAAAAAACTAGGGACTTATTATTGGCCCAATCTGTACTAGTGATTCAAAGGACAAGAGACCGATATCAAATTATACTAGACGGACCCAGTGGGAGTCACAAAGAACTCCCAAGTCCTCGGGATTAAGTTGTCAGTCCTCACAAACGCAACGACAATGTCCAAACTCGGATTATAACTCAGGCATACTGGGGGTGTCGCCGGGAGTCGTGGACATCGAAGATGTCCTAGAGGACGAGCAATGCCAAAGTTGCCTGAAAGAGGACAATGAGGACTTTGAAACTCCCGCAAGGTTCAGCAAAGAGCCGCCACCTGAAAGGGCTCAGCAGAACGATCCGCAGGCTACAAGTACCGTGGAAGAAACTTGCTGTCTCCTAGGTTGCTGTGCACGAGGCCCAAGCAAGAAGTTTCTACGGGAAATGCTTAGGAAGGGAGGACAGTATGTTCATGCTGTACACCGATGCATGCAGCGTTAGGAATAAATGGGCAGAAATGGCTCAGATAGCCCGAGCACAAAAGGTTCCTGTAGCGACAATCACCGAAACATGGCGGAATAATACTGACCGTATACCGCAGTTAGTTCAAGAGTCGTTCTTCGTCTACCGACAGGACCGTAATCAAGAATATGCGGGAGGAGTGGCAATTCTTGTTAGAAGGGGCACAAACCACATAAAATCAGAGACCACTATTTGCACGAGAAATGTCCAGTTGTGCACAGTAATTTTACTGCTTAAGCATAGAAGGGTCAACGTAGTATGTTTATCGTGTACCGGGTACAAACTGGGAAGAGGACAGTCAACTGCTGCGTGCTCTCAATAGGATAGTTGAACAAGCTAGCAAAGCAATTATTGTTGGCGACTTCAACCTACCACATATAGACTAGAGGTCTGAGGTATGCACCCGGGAATCAGCAGAAGAGAACTACCTCAAATG